ACTGGAGAGAAGACAGGATATTAGCAAACTGTTGGAAATCAGACGTCCCTGGGGGGGAAAGAAATTTATATTCTCCCTTGTAACCTACACAAATATTAATCATGGATGGATTAAAGTCTTAAATGTGAAAAGTAGAACTTTAAAAGTATTATAGGGGCCAGCTTAGTGGCGCAGCGGTTAAGTTCACACGTTCCACTTCTCGGGGGCCCAGGGTTCGCTGGTTCGGATCCTGGGTGCGGACATGGCGCCGCTTGGCACGCCATGCTGTGGTAGGCGTCCCACGTATAAAGTAGAGGAAGATGGGCACGATGTTAGCTCAGGGCCAGGCTTCCCCAGCAAAAAAAGAGGAGGACTGACAGTAGTTAGCTCAGGGCTAATCTTCCTCAAAAAAAAAAAAGTATTATAGGGCCGGCCTGGTGGCAAAGTGGTTAAGTTCACGCACTCCACTTTGGCGGCCCAGGGTTCGCGGGTCTGGATCCCAGGCCAGACCTACACACTTCTCATCAAGCCATGCCATGCTGTGGCAGTGCGCCACATACACAATAGGGGAAGACTGCACAGATGTTAGCTCAGGGACAATCTTCCTCAAGAAAAGAGGAAGACTGGCAACAGATGTTTGCTCAGTGCCAATCTTCCTTACCAAATTTATAAGAAAATATAGGAGGATGTCTTTCTGACCTGGAGCGAGGTAGGGAAGGATAAATTAAGAGAGAAAAAGTATAGACCATAAAGAAAAAGACTGATGTATTTGACTCTGCCAAAAAATGAAAACTTTTATGCACGAATTACAAAGTTAAAAGACTCGACACAGACTTGGAGAAGATATTTGTAATGCAAATAGCAGACAGAGGATTAGTATCTAGAAGCTATATACAGAAGTCCTGAATCATTAAGAAAATGAAAAACAACAGTAGAAAAACAGAAGAGATTTCACTAGAAAAGAAGCCAAATAAACATATGAAAAGGATGCTAGACTTCACTAACAGTCAGGGAAAAGCAGATTAAAATAAGATACAATTTCACCTCCATCAGCTTGGCAAAAACCTAATTCTGAAAAGCCAGCAAAGATGTAAGAAAGCAGGCACTTCATAACTGCTGGGGGTGTAGGATAAGGTGGCATGACCGGGGAGAGCGACGTGGCCGGGGCAGGGGTGCAGACAAGCACGCCCGAGATGCAGGCTTCCACCCCGGTCTGTTCCCCAGAGAAATCTCAGCAGCGCATGGACACAGAGACACGTTCAAGAATGTTCGCTGCAGCCCTGCCTGTGACAGTGAGAACTTAAGAGACAGCTTAAGTGCAACTCACTGGAGGAATGGATAACAAATTGCAATATAGTCGCTTTTGGAATAAACCTGTGTGTCACTTAACAACGGGATACATGCTGGGAAATGCATCGTTAGGTGATGTTGTCGTTGTGCGAACATCATAGAGTGCGCTTACACAAACCTAGCTGGTACAGCCTATACACACCCAGGCCCTATGGGACTAATCTCATGGGACCACCGTCCCATAAGGGAAACGCGGTCTGTCCTCATGCAGCGCATGACTGTAATAAGCATCTGTTAAAATGAATGAACTTGACCTATAGGCATCAACAGAGATAAATCTAAAATAGAGCATATTGAGAGATAAATATAATGACATTTTTGTAATTTTCCAAAACACACAAAATCATATTATACATTATTCATGGTTACCTATGTACCCATCAGAAGTTTTAAAATGTGAGTGGAAAGGGTAAATATCAACTTCACGACAATTCGTCAGGGAGGAATGAGACTGCGAGCTCTAAAAAGGAATTTAGTTTCTATCAGAAATAGATTATTTCATACACACACATATTTTAAATGATGACACAGCATACACTCAACAGATATGTAATGAAGTCCTACTCTGTGCTAGGCAGTATTCTAGATGCCCAGAAATGATTACATGAACAAAACAGATAAAAGTTCTTGTCTCCCTGAAATTTACATTCTAATGGGTGGGGGGCAACCAGACATACATAAATATACAAATATGAAATATATATAACCTATAATATAAAATATACATAACAGATGATATCTGCTATGGAGCAAACCAAAGCAGGAAAGGCAGACTGGAAATACTGGGCGGGGAGACAGACTTTAAATAGGGTGCCTAGGAGGGGCTGGCCCCATGGACTTTAAATAGGGTGCCTAGGGAAAACCCTATTTAAGCAGAGACCTGAAGGAGGTAATGGACTGAGCCAGGAAATAGCTGAAGAGCATTCCCGGCAGAGGGCACTGCCAGTGCAAAGGCTCGGAGACTGGACCAGCCTGGAGTGCGGGAGAACAGCAAGGAGGATGGTACGGGACGGGAAGAATAGCAGGAGACAACGAAGGAAAGGTGGCCAGTGAGGTGGGAGGAAAACCTGGAGAGCGGGGGTCCTGTCCAGGAAGTGACTCTAAGAAGAAAGAGTGATCGAGGGTGGCAAATGTCACCCGCAGGTCGGGTGGGACCTCAGACCTTCAGCACCATGAGGTCCCCAGTGGCCTTCACAGGAGCGTTGGTGGAAGGGGTTTGAGAGAGAGGAAGAGAGGGCTGGAGACAGCGGGCAAGGACGACGTGCCCAGGAGTGTGCCACGAGGAGAGCAGAGAAGTGGGGCAGCGGCTGCACGGTGTGGGGCCGAGGGCAGTCTGTTTCCAGATGGGGGCGTGAGGGCAGGGGAGGACGCTGGTGCAGGCCGGGGAGAAGTGCTGGGCCCCGTCCTGGAGAAGGTGGCCTGGGATGGGATCCAGTGCCAAGTGGAGCCCAGCCTTTGACCGGAGGGTGGACAGTTTATCAGCCACAGGAACAAACAGAGAACAGGGCACAGATGCAGGCAGACGGGCAGGTGGGGTGGTGAGGGCTGAGCGTTTTTTTCTTTTTTTTTTAATATAAAAACCATTCTAAGCTTGTGGGCTGCAAAAACAGATGGTGGGCGATGTGGCCTGAGGGTCAGTTTGCCAGCCTCTGGGCTACCTAGTGAGTGGACTGAGGGGGCGCTGTGCGACTGTGGGGCAGCACTGAAGACCCCCCTGCGTCTCAGCTGAGACCAGCAGGGGCCACAAGCAGCTGCTTGGGAGCAGGTGCAGAGCAGGCAGACAGGTTTACGGGTTTTGCCAGATGAATACAATGAACTAAGAGGACGAGGCGGTGGAGGATGGGTGCGAGGGAGGGGTGACAATGATGGACCCAGAACCCAGGCTGGGCAAGGAGGGAGATGAGGCTGCGCCGGGCAGTGAGAAGGCAGCAAGGCCAGGGGCTGGCAGGAGCTGTGGGCCTGGAGAGCTGCCGGAGTCGGGGCACTAGGAAGAGTGAGCTGCCAGGGCAGGAGGAGGTCAGGGAACGGTGTGCTGAAATGCAGAGGATGAGAACGATGGCCTCGTCAGGGCAACGAGCACGGGGTGGCGGCAGAGAAGGGGCCATCCTGGTGGATACTGCCAGCGCCAAGAATGACGGCAGGGGCAGACATGAGAGGGCGAGGGGAGGCCTGAGGTGTGCAGGAGGCAGTGAAGATGAGGTGATTCAAAGGTGGGAGTTTCTAGGGAGGAGGGGGAGACCGGCATAGAGCAACAGCCAGGAGCGAGGGGCTAAGAGGGACTCGGGGAGGCGGGGATGCGGCGTCCCGGGGGAGAACCAGGCCTCACCTGGGCACCAACAGGCAGGGACGCTAGGGAAGAGTCTGAGGATTTGGGGGTCTTGCTGAGGACTGAGTTCCACAAAGCAAAGCAGGAGAGTTCAGGAGTTGAAGAAAATGGGAAAGGAGGTCTGACAAGGGGCTGCTCCAAGCCCAGAGGGTGTGACGGGTGAGTTGGGGGCCCAGCTTCTTGGACTGAAGTGGGCAGGGATGAAAGCCAGATGGGCTGAAGGCAGAGAGCGGAATCTCTGTGTGCTGGAGGGCAGGGCGAGGTGGGGGTCTTGCCAGCAGCCACCGTATTCCTGGGCCCCCATTCGCTCTCATGAATGATGGTGTGGGAGCCTCCACATGGATGTTATAAATATAAAATGAGCCCACTGTGACCCTCCTGCCAAGGCTAAGAGGCTGGAAGCCCCCGCGTCATAACCCTCTGTTCCATCCAGACACACTCGGCTCTTAGTCATTTTCTGTCCTCTACCTTCCAGCACTGTCTCTGGCATCTAGCAGATTCTCAGATACGTTTGTTGAACTAAACTGGTGAGTGATTTTCTGACCGCTGACAGTGTGGTCGGCCCTCCACACGCTCTGCCCTTCGTAAAGCAAAACCTCATTGCGATGAAGCAGCAAACATGGAAGACACATCTTATTAACCACGAATTACACACAAGGCCTTTCAGTGACACTGATGTCCGGACAAAAGGGGAACCCAAGGCAGGGGGACCGACAGGGGGCTTGTGGAGGAGGCTGGGCCTGCAGGACTGGGTCTCCCTGTCAAACGCAGCCTGTCATTTACCCCACAACTCAGCACGGCCCTCACTTCACTCCCTCGGCTTCTGCCACGCTGCCACCTGTCCTTTTCTTAACTGTCGAAGGTGCTGACGGGCTCCAGGAAAACCTGAGACACTGGTATCGGGAATCCAGATTCACCTTAAATACATCTGTGGTTCTAACGTCCTTAAATATGTAGCTAACCAATGTTCTGTGACCACGCGCGGATTTAAGTGAAATTTGGTTCTTGGATGGAGGCAAGGACTCTTCCTAAAGCTATGAATGAATGAAGTTTTGACTTCAATATTCTACTACCTTCCCTATCAGGGTCCCCTTCACTTCCCTAATTCTGTGCCACCGGCTCTGTCTCTTTCCTAAAAGACGAGCTTTGCTGCCCGTGTCCACAACGGGAAGTATTCCCAGAGTGTGACCTCAACAGGCCATGGGTCATAACTCAACGACAAAACTTCAACATTCAAGTCTGATGCTTCTCCTGGGCTCTCCCTGGAAAGGTCACGCCCTCCCTGGCGCTTCTCCATTTCCACCCCATCGCCTGGTGTCTCCCTGGCCCCCTCCCAGCGCCTCACCTGGACTCGGGCCCACAGGAACATCTGGAAGCTTGGGGCCAGGGCGACGCCAGCTGCACGGCTCCTTCCCTTGTTCGGTCTGGGAGAGGACCTCGGGCTTGGAGATGGCGTAATCTGAGGGAAGGCGGAGAGGTTAGCTCCTGCCACGTTCCATTCAGAGCTGGGCACAGGCAGCCTGGGAAACCAAGAGTGGCCTAGGAACTACATTTCTTGACTGGTGTAGAGCAGTGGTTCCTAACTGTAAGCAATTTGCCTCCCAGGGGACATCTGGCAAAGTCTGGAGACGTCTTTGATTATCATGACTGGGGGCTGGGGGAGACGTGCTACTGGCCCTTGTGGGTGGTGGCCTGGATGCTGCTCATCATCCTGCAATGTTCAGGACAGCCCCCCAGTAAAGAAGCAGCAGGTCCAAAGTGTCAACAGGGCCGAGGTTAAGTAACTCTGGCGCAGAGTCTCCACATTAAGCAGCAGTACATTTCTGCAAACTGAAATATAACATCACACCCGCACCTGCTCCCAGCCTCACTAAGCATGCCTTATTGCCTTCAGACCTGGGGCCACAGAGAAACTGTCGCAAAGGAAATAAGCCCAGGAAGAAACAGCCCAGCCCTTCTTGTGGGGTCAAATGAAGAGAGCTGCAGCAGCCCCAGGGCCTGGGGGAGCAGAGGCTCGAGGCATGGGGGCAGCACTGGCCGTAAGGAGCATGGTCTGCCCATGTTCTTCACTGATCCGGAGGAACGTCATGGTCAAGGCCACGGTCTCAGTAAGAAAAGGCTAAAAGAAAGTCTTTCTCAAATGTGAGTCAATCACATCCTGGATCTGAGAGCTGAAGGAGCCTTCTCCACCCCAAGCCTCAGCGGGAGAACAGGGAGGGCTGTGCTCCCCGCCTGACTAGGAGAGGGGTCACCCCCTCGGTCTGGCCACCCAGGAGCTTCACCAGGTGGAAGGGAGCTTTCGACCCAGTCAGCACTCATCTTTGCTAAGAGGAGGGGACAATTCTTTGTGTGGTCAAAGTTCCCAGTGATTTACACATTCCTGCAATGAGATCCACCAGCGTGAAGGGAGAGGTCTGAGGACTCCCCAAGTCACACTGAACAGAGAAGAGGATCAGCCTTACCCAGGGAGACCAGCGTCTCGTAGTTGCCCCTCACCACATGCTTGTAGAGCTCCTTCTGCCACTCGTCCAGCTTGCCCCACTCCTGCTCAGAGAAACACAAGGCCATATCATCAAAGATCAGGGGCCTGGAACCACAGTGTCACGCACACTCACCCACACACAGGCACGGCCCCTCGGGCTGTCCCACCCCGGGTGCTCCACGGTTACCTTGGGGGCCTCCCCCTTGCTGCCCGGGGGCAGCCGCAGGATCCAGAAGTTCCTGTTTCTCAGCAGGTTTTCCATGTTCTCCAGCCGCCTCTGCAGCAGCCCGTACTCCTGCAGCAGGGTCCCCAGCACGGCCCACTTGCCCTCCAGCTGGTTCCCAAACTCCAAGGCCGTCTTCTCACAGTCGGCCAGCTTCTTCTCGGCCATCCCAGTCCGACCTTCTAGAGAGAGTAAGCGGGCAGCCTGTGATTCGATCTTCCTCTCCATGGCCTGTATCGTAGCTGCCATTGTCCATGGAGAAATCTTTCAGAAACAGAGAGAGAAGACCGGCATCATTCACTTCATCCACCGTGCCCTTGAGCCCATCTTCCCTAGGAATGGGGGAGCTGGGCGGGGGCGGGGAGCACATGTGTGGAAAGTGGGGATATCTTGTGCCACATGCAGATCTCAGCTCAGCGATTAGCTTCTCTGAGCCTCTTAGACACGGCCTCTGTCTGGGCAGGTGTCTTCCCTCCGGGCCTCTGCGGCACACCGTGCAGCCTCCACTCATGGCCCCGACTGCCCTGCACAGTAATCCTCTGCCTCCACCTCTGCCAGCTCTCTGAAGGCAGCAGTGCATCTTTTCACAGCACAGTGCGAGGCCCATGGTGGGCACTCAGTGCGATTCTGCTAAACAAACAGTGACTGAGCACTGCTGGGGCGTTTTAGTGGAGAAACAGTAAACTGCAGACTGACTAGAGCCCAGCCGGCACCTCCCATCATAATCGCACAGGAACTGTCTACTGATGATGACCTAGCAGAAAAAACAGCTGGTTCACTGAAACGGCACAAACAAGAGCATTGCTCAATTTCTTTCTTTTTTTTTCCTAAAGCATCTCGTGTCTCTTTTTGATAAACATAAAAACCTAACAGCTAACTCCTCTGCCCCCAGGACAATCTGATTTGTCCCCTCCCCAGCTGCCCACCGCCAAACTAAAAACCACCATCACTGCAACTCCCTGCCAGCCAAGAGTTAGACTTTTTGATACCACACGAGCACCCTGGGCCCCCTGAGGTTCTCACGTTTTCTCTGACTGTTCCCACGCCTCCCAAGGGGAGAAAAAGGTCTCAGACATCTTTGTAGCTGCCCCCGGATCAGTGACACACCTTGCAGACTGGTGAGGAAGGTAAGACACATGCCACAAGGTGAGGCTTTTATATGTGTGGCAACCATCATAAAGACGCCGAGCTTCCCCACACCATGACTTCCCTGTCGCCACAAAGTTCACACGGTAGCTTGAACTGGGGCAGTTGGGGACACTGAGGAAAGGGCACATTCTGCTTTGGGTGGGGGCTGGACCCACCCTACCTGCAGCTGAAGAGGGGACCCATGGGTCTGAGAGGAGGTTCTGGCATTTGTGCCTTCTTCTGGCCATGCCTGAGGATCGATGATTCCTTACAACATTCTGGAAATTATTCCTAAACTAATGGTTGGTGACTATTTGCAAAACAGAAAAGCGACCAGTAGGGACCAGTGTGCATTCATTTAGAGAAGGCCACTGAGAACCAGAACAGGGGTGGACACCTCAGAAAATAGTGACAGAACTCGGAGAGTTTGAGCAGAGGCCAAAAAAACTGTCAAGGATGGAGCATTAGCAATCCTTTGATTGTTTGGAGAGAGGCTGGACCAGATGACCTCTGACCTGAAGAAGGAAGGGCTTGAGCTGGGTCTCGGATGACGGATGACGGGGAGGAGGAGCTGTTTGAGGGAACACCGGGATGTGGGGGGACTCTTGCTTCGGAGGCGGGTGGTCCTGCCCTGAGCCTGCAAGGACTGCGCTGGGCTGGTACCACCCTGGGTGTGTGAGCCCACCCTCCATGACTGCCACTGTTCCCCTCCTTTCCCTGGCTCCTCCTCTCTGATCAATCCCTGCCATAGGACCTCAGCCTCCAAGAGTCTGCTCCAGAGGTGTCCTTTCCCTCCATCACCCAGCTCCCCATCCACTGACGTCCTACTCAGCCTCCAAGTGCCTGTGACTGTCCTCACCACAGTTTACGTTGCAGGAAAAGGGCATCTGCATAAACTCCTACTTTACAAACAATAAGGCATGTGCAGTTTCCTTACCATTTTAACAGGGTAGGGAGCCCCATCTGAGGCCTCCACACTATTTGGTGGGAGGTGACAACGTTTCTGCTCCAGCTCAGCTCCCTACTAAGTGGTGGGTAGACAATACGGGGCTGTCCTCAGACTCCTGCCAGGGATGCCGGAACTCTGCTTGAGTTGCTGGTGGGACGACTCTGAATCCTTCAAGAGCTCCCCACCCATATGATGAAGTTCAGGCACTGAAACCCCTTCTAGCTCTCCCTGCAGCATGCTCTCTCACTGCCCCCCGGGAAAACCATCTTCTCCAGGCGCATGGACTCCTTCCCTATCCTTGACCATGCCCCAGGCTGCCTGTCTCTGTGCCCAAGCCGTCCTCCCCACCTGAAAAGCGTCCCGATCCTGCTGGGCCTGATGAAACCCTAGCCCTCCCTAAAAGCCCAGCTCAAATCACAGAAGCCGGGGGCAGGAAGGGTGTGCAGAGCAGGCGCCAGCCCCTTCTCCTGCGCTCCACAGCATGCTTCCTCCTCGGGCCAAGAAGCACTCACCTCTTTCTGTTTTGCACGATTATTTCCAGTGTACCTGTCTGCTTCCCTCAACACCCGGTGTGCCCTGAACACAGAGCAACTGTCTTTTCACACACTTTCTAGCTGTGCGATCCCGGGCAAGTGAACTTCTCTAGGCCTCAGGGTTTTCTTTTGTATGACAGAGAGAAGGAGTACCTACCCCACAGGTTTGTTGGGAGGACAAAATAACGCCTAACGGGGCCGGTGCCGCGCCTGCTTCTACCAACCGGAGCCGCTGTCCTCCGCCCCGACCCCCCGCGAGCTGGGCACTCCGGGTACTCGGTGTCGGCGGAGTGAAGCCGCTTAGGACGCCTCCCAGGTGCCAGCAGGCCGCTGGGGGGAGCTGGGGGGTCGGGGACGCAGGGCAGAGCGGTGGGCAGAGAAAGGCGCCGCGGGGTGGGGGCGCGGGGCCCGAGGGCCGGCGGATGGGGCGGGGGCAGGAAGCCGCGGAGGGCTGCAGGAACTCGGCGCGGAGCGGCCTCCGCGCGGGGACGGCCGGGTCCGCCCTGCCCAGGCTCGGCCCGGGATGGGGGCCCGGCCGGCGGGCGCCCTAGGCCCCGGCGGACCCCGCGCCCCGTTCGCCGGAGCCCCAGGCCCGGCGGCCCGGCCCGGCCCCCGGAGCCCCTCCCCAGGGCCTGCGGCGCCGTGCGCCGGGCCCGGGCCCCGCTCCGCGTCCGTGCGAGCGCGGGCCGCCTTACCGGAGCCGCGGCCGCCTCGGCCATGGCCCTGCGCTGTCCGGCCCGGCCCGGCCGGAGGAAGTCGCCGCCGCTGCCGCCGCCGCCGCCGCCGCCGCCGCGCGCCCCACGCAGGCCGGCCCCCGGCCTCTCCGCAGGCGCGCCCGCCCGCCCGGCCTCCCCGCCGCGGCGCCGCGCTCCTCGCTGGCCGGCCCGCGCCGCTCCGCCCGCAGACGCGCCGCCGCCGTCAGCGCCCGGCCGGTCCACACTGCATCCTGGGAGCCGGCGCAGGCCCGTGAGGCTGCCTGGAGGCAGCGCGGCCGCACAGCCCCACCTGCAGCCCGGAGAGGCGAACGGCAGGCGCCGCGCCCGCCCCGCCCCGCGCCGCCGCCCGCCCCGCCGGCCCACCTGCCCACCTGCCCGAGAGCCCTGACCCGAACCTCCGTCCCGCCGGCCCACCTGCCCGCTCGACCCCGACCCCCTGACCTCCTGTTCCCTGGCCCTCCTGATTGCCCCACTCCCCGGCCCACCTGACCCCCCGACCCACGAACTCCAGAACCCCGCCCACCCAACCCCAACACCTGGACCCCCCGACTCCCCGGCCCACCTGCGCACCTGACTCCCACCCCCTGGCCCCTGGCCCACCTGATTCCTCGACCCCCCGAACCCCGCCCACCTGACCCCCGACCCTCCTGAACCCCGCCCACCCAACCCCAACACCCCGACCCCACGACTCCCTGGCCCACTTGCCCACCTGACCCCGACCCCCTGGCCTATGGCCCGCCTGATCCCCCGACCTCTCGAACCCCGCCCACCTGACCCCGACACCCCAGCCCCCGACCCCCCGACCCACCAGCCCACCGGCCCACAGCCGGGCGCGCTGAGTCACCGCCCGGACCCCGCGCCCTACCCGCCTCCGGCCGCGCCTCGCGACCGCCTCGGGCTTTGGACCCCCGGCGCCCCGAGGGCCTCTGTTACCAAAAAGAATCTCCCTGCTCCAGGGACCAGCCCGGCGCCCCCGGTGACCACGGCGACGGCGGCCGCTCCCCCTGCGAGCCCCAGGAGACCCGCGCCCCGTCCCCAAGGGCACCGCCACGTCGCCTCTGCAGCTTCAGGTCCCGCCAGGCGATACGGGCTTCTTATGTGTTTCGTACTTATTTGGACGGCTGTAGCTCACGTCTACCTTTGGTCTGAAATAGAAAAAATTCTTCCAACGATAGGAATATAGTTCGGTAAATGCTGGTAGGCAGCCACTTAGAACTTTCTGTGACGTGTTCATTACTTATAAAAAATGAATTTTAATGGAATGAGCAATGGAACAGAATACCATCATTTAAAATTATTTTGGTCAAGAACTTGGTATGGGAAGATGTTTATGATATTTTAAGAGAAGCCTGTCCAGATCCCACTTTTATTTTGACGATGAATATACAGATATATGTATATAAAGACAAGTTTGGAGGCATATAGTGTAAGTACTTTAACAGTGAGACCACGGGCCATTTGTACACATTTTCTAACTTAAAAAAAATTAAAACTCTGTAATGACAACAATAATGTTTTATAATATTTTGTAATAACAAGAATAGTATTTTTAAACAAGGAGAGAAAAAATAATAAATAAATTGAAAAAATTCCTCAAGAAGCGAACTGGAGCGGAGGAGGGCAGGAGACTTTGAATGGGGCCCCCATGTGGTCACGAAGATGTGTTTCCTTTCAGAAGTTCCTCTGCTACGTGGAACTCTTTCCTCGAGAGGGGGAACCGGTGCACCCAGTGCTCCAGACTTTTGGGCTTGGGATCTAGCAGCCGGTCCTAACATGCCTGTTGTTTCTCTTCATCAGCCTGGGCCGAAGGGACAGCCAGGGGTCATCTGCATGCATCCTTCTTTGTGTATGGACCTGGACTCTCCCCAGGAGTGGAGGGGGAGACGCTTGACTCAGACTGTTTGGGGAGGTCTGTTCCCTTCACCTCCTTTTCTGCTCCTCATTTCTTTCTTTACCTCATTTCTGGTGCTCCCCGGCTCTCAGGGATTGCCCCTCAATGGGCGGGCGAAGGGATTTCCATCTTGGAGCTCCTGGCATCCTTTTGCCTCTTGGAGTAGGTCCCTCAGAGGGTAAAGTTGAGCCACTTACTACAGGAGAATGTTCCAGAATCTGCCCTGAGGTCCTTTTCCTGTCTTTTCCCTCTAACTCTTCTACGTGAATCTTTCCCTTCCCAAATAACACATTCCCTGCGTCAGAGCGGATCCCTGTTTGGTGGACCTGAAGCTTGTATAATTGGGGGAATATTATTAAGAAAAAAACTTCACAAAATTACAAATTTACAAGTAGGTACAGAGCTGGTACAAGGAGGTACTCTGAAGCTTAAGCTTCATTAGCTTCATGGTAAAGTCCTTGATTTAAAAAAGAAGCCATCAGAACACATCCAGGCCTTGGGTAGGTTGGGACTTGTGCACTGGGGGTATCGTGGGAGGAACGGGGTCGGGGTCCTGAAGGTTCTGCCATTAACTGGTCGAGGTCCTGGGGCGGTCAGCCGGCCTCTAAGGGCTCTCCTTGCTCAGATGTACAATGAGGAGATTGGCTTAGGCTATTCTGTAAACTTTCCTGGGTCTGCCCTTCCTTTCACCACCAATTTGCTTTGACACTGGACCCAGTTGAAGACCTCTGCCTCCACTCTCATTGCGGCCTGTTTGCTGGTGGCTCTGCACGATAGCTCGCTTATGTTCTCATGACCCCGTGCGTTGGTCAGTCCTTTTCATGTTGCCCGGAAGAGCTGCTCTTGGATTACGTTAGAGAAGGGGGCTTGTTCCTGTCCAAGGGAACAGAGGTGTTACGTCCGTGACGACATGGCCCCTCAGGGTCCCAGTGGTTCCGTGGTGGGATGCATTACATGCCTCGTGGAGGATGTGAGCAGCGTGTACCTGGGCTTACGTGACCATCGTGTCCCTAGAATGAATTCTTCCCAGGAGAGAGGATCCGATTGGGTCGGGTCTTACCTCCAACAGGCACTGGCCCTTTTGAGCAGAGTTGAAAGCCAAGGCCCCCAGAGGTGGCTGGAGGCCAGAAGAGTGCTGTTAGGTTAGGTTACTGTGCACGTGGCGAAAACTGTCAGCAGCTTTATGTGGAGGGAACTGCCCTGGATTACTTTCCTCCAAAGGGAGTTGTGGGCGTGAGAAACCTTTAAATGTCGGGCCTCTTTCAATACATGCCCTTATCACCTGCTCCAGCCCTTTGTGCTGGGTACTCCTCTGGGCAAGGACCATGACTCGCTCATCCTTGAGTTCCCCGAGATTGGCGTACTGCCTTGCACACCACTTGGGAGATGTGTGCGTGTGCGTGCACAGGTGTGAGCGGGGCCTACACCAGTCACGGTCCTGATGGGGAGACTTCCCGGAAGGCCGTGTGCGGGAGGGATTGAGAGGGATGAGGGGTCAGTCAGGAGGCCACTGCCAGCGTCCAAGCCCGAGGTGAGCAAAGGTCTGTCCAAATATGGCAGGAGGGGGACAGAAAGGAAGGAACGGAACAGAGATCTGTAAAGGGTATGCAGTAGGAGGCAGTAACCAGCCGCAGGTGTAGTTTATGTGAAAAGGATTCCAGGGCAGGTCCTGCGTCTGAACGGAGGCAGCGTGCATCTGCGACAGAAATAAAGTGGTCGGAAATAGAGCCGGTTTTCAGGAATGTGATTTTTAAAAATTCAACTTTTGGTATATGCCAGGGCCATTTCCAGGTAGAAATGACCTATCCTAGCAGGTTTTCAGACCAGCTCCATCATGGTCCCTGGGGAATCTTGTGAAGCATATAGTTTTCTGGATTCCATCCCAAAGCTACTGAATCAAAATCTCTAGGGATGGGCCCTGCGGACTGTGGGGAAGACTTTTTTAAAAGAAGGTTTGTTTTTAACAAGCTCCTAGTAGGGCTTGTGGGTGGGGCGGGGGTGGGGCTCTGATGCACAGCCAAGTTTGCGAAACCATGACTCCTCCAACCTTTCACATAAGACGAGCATCCCTGGGAGCTGACCCTCCACCGTCTGTTTGCAAAAAGAACGAAAGCAACGCCCACCTTGGGTTGATATTCAAGACCTCTCATAGCCTTTCCCTTCGTTTCCAGTTTTTTGGCTCAGTCTGTCGTAAACTGGCTTGAGAATCTCCACTTCTGTGCCTTTCCTCACATCTGTCCCCTCCTCTAACCCACCTCAAGCCCCATATCTTTCCCAGCTCACACCCGCATCGTTCCACCAAGCCGCTCCATCCCAATCAAGCCTGCAGCCAACTCTGCCCTGGCCAAACTCATAACTTTTAATATTGGTACCATTCATTTGACACTTAGAGAAAAATTATAACACAAGGTAGTAGTATCCTAACTCACCTCATAGATGATAAGATGATAGATGCTAAGTTTCCTAGATCAGGGGCTATGTCTTAGTCCTCTTCTCTCCCCTACAGGGTCTGCT